ACTTCCCAATTCCAAGAACAAAACATTTTGTCTCTCTTTATTATCTCTGTTTTGAACATTGCCATTATTTATTATTTTGTCCTAAAGAATGACTTAATATGATGTATGTTTGGAAAAGCTTAATGAGTTTTAATAGACTAGGGGAAGGGCCTGGTTTCATAAGGTTCATAAATTGTCCTTTGTTGACTTTTGATTTGTACGGGACCAAGGTAGGCAGAGGTTACTCTTATCTTTATTTGTAAGAGGTGATTGCTTTCAGTTGGTCCACTCCTGTTTGTTTGTTTTTTGATATCTTTATATGCATATATATATATATATATATATATATATATATATATATATATATATATATATATATATATACATTTACATTTACATACATCCATACATACATCACACACACACACACACACACACACACACACACACACACACACACACACACACACACACACACACACACACACACACACACACACACACACACACACACACACACACACACACATATATATGCATGCATACAAAGTGGTTGCCTAAGTTTTGGAATAAATAACTGAAAATAGACTGTGTTTTGCCATCCTTGAGTTGAATGATACTTCAATCCTATATTACAAAATATTTCCATGAGGTAATTGGGCAAATCAGCAGTATGAGTATCACGAAGGAAACTAACCCTAACAAGGGCAAGGACGAAATCAGACAACTTTTAATCATCTTGGAAAACGATCGATAGTGGATGTGGTTGCGCTTTTTGAATAAATCCCCCCCCCCCAATCTCATGCCCGTTGTTACTTATATGGGCTGTGGCCAACCACTTCTACTATCCACTCTCTAAGGCGTGAGAGCCGTGGTGAAAGGATGAAAGGCTGACCTTGTGTTAGTCGTGAACTGCCTGGGGGAACCATGGGCACGGAATTCCTCTGTTTGGTTGTGCATTCCTTACCCCTCAAGGGGACTCTGAAGGGTGGACTGTTTCTCTCCCCAACATACTCTAGGCTTACCATGGCCATTAATGACGATTCTATACCATCATTATAGGTAATGAGACTTGTCCCTTTATCAAATGGGCCAAGTGATTAAAATTTTCCCCGTTCCGCGACCTCAGGCTCTCCTTTGACCACGACTCGGAACACTCCTACTATTGCATCGGCCCGGTTCAAACCATCCATCCAGGGGAATGCTCAGTTTCCAGGAAACATTCATGCTCTCCCATTCATACTCTTCTTCATCCTTCATCTTCCCTTATTACTACTTTGCAATCCTATTGTCCACCCTCCGCAGTACTACCTCTCTCAACACTACTCCCTCTTCCACACGTCCCCGTCCTTCTGCTACCCCCACCTCCACAAACATCTTTAATACTCTGTTTAGCCCAGCCAAATGGGATCGATTTTTCGTAATTCCCCCCTCAGTCCCTTAATATGACACTCTTCTATCCCAGCAATGCCTCCAAAACTAATAGGCAAAGTTTCCTTCCGTTCCCGCCTCGTCACAATGGCATCCTAATCCCAAGCATTATCAACCATTAATTACTTCGCTGGCAAACCCATTCCTGTCTAATCTTATCCCTCCCTCAATACTTGTACCGGAACGGTCACTATCTCCCCGACAAACTACCCTGTCTACGACACGGATTTTCAAGATTACTTTCCGTAAACATGACCATCCCTTTAATGTTTACATTTGCGAAAAATCCCTCCCTGTCCGACCATATCAACCTCCCTCCGTCAATATCAGGCTACCTGGTAAACAGTGCTGCCAAACACTCGCACAGTCCGATGCCCTCTATGTGTCCAACCTGGTCATAATCGATAAAATTGCTCTGCACAGTAACACACGTGTACCGGTTGTGGCGGGTCCCACAATGTTTTGTACAGGGGCTGCCCTGCCTACAAGTTTGAGTCTGAAGTGGCAATTCTCGGATTCAAATTTGCCCTCACTT